GTTGATGTAGGGGAGCTTGGAGAGATGGTCGACGGTGATGGGGCCTTTTCCGCAGACGGCGTCGACCTCCTGCTGGGCTTTGGTGAAGGTCTCGGGGTGGGTCAGCATCTGGTAGAAGGAGTAGGAGAGCATGCCGGATGTGGTCTCGTGGCCGGCGATGAGGAAGGTGATGAGGTTGTCCATGATACTCTGATCGGTCATTTTCTTGCCCGTCTTGGAGTCCACGCCGTCGAGCATAGCCGTCAACAAGTCGTTGAGGCTCTCGGACTTGGTGCCGTTCTTGCGGGCCATGACGATCTCCTCGGCGGTCTTCCGCATAATCTCAATGTCCTGGTTGAGCTTCTGATCCTTGGCGCGGTAGAACATGCCCGGCAGAGGCCGCCTATCGACCTCGCCGCATTCGGTGAGGAAGTCGGCCATTGCTTGGACGAATGGGTGCATGTCCTCGGAGTAGAAGCTGTTGAACCGGTACCCCATCGAGCAGAGGGCGATGGTGTCCAAGGTCAAGCGAGTGAAATCGTCAGATACCTCTACGTGGGTGTTTGGGCCGACACGCGCCCACTTGAGGGCCAGCTGGCTCGCAAGGTCGTGCATCTCGTCAAACATGTTGCGGATCTTCAGGGGCCCGAAGGCCGGCAGGAGGACGCGGTGTGCAATCCCCCAGGGCTCTTCTCCATCGTGCGCCTATGGCTGAGTGTGAGCTGTGACTCTCTGCAACGGGGATGAGAGGCAACTTACTGTAAAGAGGCCATTGTGTACGCCGCGGCGGATATGCTGTGTGTGACGGGTTAGCACCTGTTTGGATGCAGGAGTTGCAGGGCAAAGTCGAAGACACATACATTAAGAGGACCAGCGACGATCTTCTTGAACCGCTTCTCGTCACAGACCTCATTTACGAGTGCTTGAGTTGTGACAACGACATTGTTGGAGCCGGGAAATCTCATGCGGAAAATCTCGCCTGGTCACAATAAGCCATTAGTAAGGTAAATCGAATGAAGGTAGGCAAGAGCAGGACAGGGAACTCACCATATTTGTCGGCAAATCCCTGGATTGAACCGAGAGGATAGCTGGGGTCAATGAGAGCGGCATGACCGATGATGGGATATGAAGGAGGCTCGGGAATATCCACGGTAGCCATGGTGAAGAAAGGAAGGGAAGAGCTGAACGGAGACGATGCTATGCGGAGGAAGAGCCGAGGGCTGATATTAGTTGGAGATGAGGTATGAAAAATCCAAGAAAGGTTAAACAGATGCTATGCTTGCTCGCTTGTGAGGAATGTGAAGTGAAGGGTCTGTCTATTAGGCTCAATCTTAGCAGGCTCTTGCCCTGTCTATATATACCTATGTAAATCCCGAGATACGCATCCGCAACGCGCGCCCAGCACGTTCAAGTCGCCCCGAGCCCGGTTCGGGGCTTTCTTAGTCCCGAACGGCGACTGTAACCGCAGGCAGAATTATGCGACGAGATAGGGAGGGACTGGGGACACCGCCAGAGAGAAATGCAGGCAGATGCGCCGTATTCCGTCCTGGTCCTCCACTGGGAAAGACGCATTGTTTGGCGATCTGCAGCAACGGCAGGAAAGTGGAAGAGGCGGATTATGTCAGCGGAAGTTGCGTCCAATCAGCAACGGCCCAACAAACGGCTATGTCATCTGCCCGCTGACGCCGTTTGCTAGATTTGGCCTGGATGCAAGGGATTCATCGGAATGAGCTGCAGGCCCTGCCTTGAATCCCGTGCACTAGCATCATCTTCGAAACCCTCCGGCAAGCTCAGCCCAAATCTGCCATCTCTGGCGAGCCCGCGAACCCTCCGCCCTTGTCCATCCTCTCGAGGCCTATCCCCCCGCCACGCACATCTGTCAATCTATCCGAGGTGGATGACGCCAGCTACGTGCTATCCGTAATCCAGCCAAGGCCGGCCTGTTTCACCCGAGTCCACGCTATGCCTGCCGGCGCTACCATGACGGGGGTCCCGGCGGAGGTTTTTGGGGCGCCCGGTCATTTCGCCTATACCTACTAATGTAAGGGGAAACGGGCCAGGGCAAAGCAGAGACAGGCCAAAGGCCAGATACGAAACAAAGTGAGGAAGCCAAAGAGGCTGGGAATGTCTGACGTCTTCCCTCCCTCTGGGTCCGGCCTACCTCTGGGCCCAAAGCAGGCAGCCCGTATCCTGCCTCACCGTCGTACATTATATACCGCGATCCCAGTGATGCGGAGATGAAATCCGTTGGCCTGATTCCTCTTTTCGCTTCTTGGAGTCCGTTCCCCACGTGCCAATGTGCCATTGCATTAAAGTTACGCGCCATTCGCTATGCGTCGGGACATGCGAAACTGCCGTGCCGATCCGCCGCAAAGAACCAAAGTGCCATCCGTTTGCACATGCGTTTTGACCATGGTCATTTTCGCTTCCTTGAGTCAAGAAACCCAAAAGCCTACTGGAATGTCCAAGAAAGGTGTGAGACTCTGCCTCAGCTGTCTAGTGCCAACCCATCTCGAGACATTACTCATCACCTGGAATTACAGCATCTCGCGAACCATTTCTCGCTTAATCATTAACCGGTATATTCGCCAGCCTGTTGCCTCTGCCGACAACCGTTTCTCGCTAAATCATGAACCGGTGTATTCGCCAGCCTGTTGCCACGGATCGCATCGCTCACATTTCACAATGAAGAGCACAAGAACATGTGGTGGTAGTTATGCCACCTTGTGCCAAGCGGACGGATGCGGCAATCTCCCAAATTCAAATGCCGTGTCTCACACAAGAACTTGACCAAGATGGCAATACCGAACAAGCTTATAATCTCTTGGAATTCCGGCCATCCATTGCCCTAGAATTCCTATGGGTTTCATTCTGTCTCTGTCGCCGCAGCTGTGAGTAGCGTTATTCAATCGACAACATTGGAGAAGCACAATAGCCAGACAGATTCCTTCTTTCTCACAAGACAATGTTGGCGAAGCTGGTTGTAGCAGCGCTTACCCTGGGCGTCTCCCACGTCCTGGGAGCAGCCGTGAGCATTAACCAAGCCCCTGACGCCTCCGGCTGCGACTACGATGCTATCGTTGTGGGAGGAGGCCCGTCCGGTCTCAGTGCTCTCAGCGGCCTAGCACGTGTGAGGAGGAATGTCCTCCTCATCGACTCGGGGGTGTACCGCAACGGACCGACCCGGCATTTACATGATTTGATCGGCCTGGACGGTATGTGTTTCACTTGGACCACTCTCAGTGACTGGAATTCCCGTTGTTGTTACTAACCGGAGGACCACCAGGTATCACGCCGGCGTACTATCGCTGGCTCGCACGAGAGCAGCTGTCCCATTACGACACCGTCCAGATGACCAATGGCACAGTGACCAAGATTGAGCCCCAGGCCAACAACACATTCTTCCGTGTCACAACCGACGGCAAACAGCTCACCGCCCGCAAGATCGTCCTCGGCACAGGCCTCCGCGACATCCTCCCGGCCACCCCGGGGATCGGTGAAAACTGGGGCAAGGGCATCTACTGGTGCCCCTGGTGCGACGGCAAAGAGCACGCCGACCAGGGCCTCGGCCTACTAGCCCCCATGGGCGCGGTCCCGGGTCTGGTGCGGGAGATGGCCACGCTCAACCAGGATGTCGTGGCCTTTGTCAACGGCACCGACGTCCCCGCCCAGGGCCCCGTCGCCGACGACGACTTCGGGCCCGGGTGGGAGACGTACCTGGAGCTGAAGAAGATCAAGGTCTACAACGAGACTATTGAGAGCATTGAGCGTCTGAGTACCGCTGCCTCCGGCGATCCTAGTCTGCCGACGTACCCTGAGTATGACATGTTCCGTGTGCACTTGGCAGGCGGGGAGGTAGTCGAGCGTGCTGCATTCTTCGCCAAATTCAAGGATGAACTAGCGAGCTCTATTGGTCAAGATATGGGTGTGCGCTTGGATGGGGGACGACTGACTGCCGACTATGCCAAAGGTCTCCTGACTAATATCCCTGGTGTCTATGCGGTTGGCGATGCAAACACAGACGGTGCGACCAACATCCCCCATGCGCTGTTCTCGGGCAAGCGCGCGGCGATCTATCTGCATGGTATGACACTACTGCCAGTCCAATTACTTATTGGGGGTTGAGTAGCTAACAGCGAAGCAGTACAACTGGAGCGTGAGACCGCGAGTGCTCAGATCGCGGCCTACAAACAAGGCAGGGATGTTGTTGAGGATGAGGATGTACGCGCTCTCTGGGAGCGGATGAACGGCGAGCCCGGCGATCTGCTGTATGCGGGCGAGTATCGCGAGTAAGCTGCACGAGGTACTCAGCGACTAGAATGTACTGTATATCTTGTATTTTAGACTTGATCGGCGGAGATAAATAGAAGAAGACGCGAATGCTATAATCGCCCATAATTGTAATAGATTCCACCTCCTCATCACAAGCCCGACTTGGATCCCAACAACAGGCCTCCTGTCATACCCATTAAAAGCACGCGATCCCACCAAGGTCTTAGTGAGAATATATAGGCCCTTCAGATAAAACTATTTAAAACGGCATCCTCTTTTCATATAACCCCTCTCCTCTGATTATAGCCTTCTATATAATGTAGGTTCTGAGAGTGTAGATGGAGCCTTATTATTAGATCTTAGCATCTAGTAAATAAAGGCGGTCTGTACTTACTTATGCTGAATGAATGTATTTATTCTATGGAATTTAATTAACTGACGGGGGCTTAAGGCAATTGACGCGCCGATATTAAACCAGCTAAGCCATGTGCGCGTGATGATACATCCTTTCTGATCCCAACCTACATGTCCCTCCTCCTTTCCCACCTACCGCTGTGACGCTGTGTCTACTGCATAATTTCGCAAGTAACTCTAGCTGCATGTTAGCTATGGTTTAACAACTCCTACTATCACTAATTCTCGAGTAAAGTGGTATGAGCAGTTCGTTAATTATTCACTGCTTGTGGTTCATCTTCTATCTCTGTTATCTCCACCTCTTCCTCTAGCCCCTACGTATCCCGGCATCACATCTAGAGCTCATCGCGTCCTACTCCGCCTGTGCTCTTTCCCTGAGCGAGAATGATCTCCTGTGCCAGATTCGTCCAGAAGGCACATGCAGGCTTCGTGTTCTGGTCGTCCGTGATGAGCGTGAACGCCGCCTGACCACTCGGCATCTGCACCGACAAGACATCCGTGGCATTATCACCCGAACCGTCAGCCTTGGGCCAGGTTGGCGACGGAACGCCAAAAACACCCGGGTGGCCCAGCGTGTTCGGGTCACCCGAGATGGCAAAGGACGCGAGGTACGTCTGATATGCCTCGGAGATGCCCGAGTTCACGAGCCGGTCGGCGTAGATTCCCGCAAAAAACTCGTTGATCTGGTCCGTGCTCTTGAGGAGCAAGGTCTTGGCCTCGGCCTTTGTGTTGGCAAAGAGAGCAATGAGGTCGCTGGCGTGGACGGCGGCTTCCTTGAGAGGGAAGGCGTAGCGTAGCATGTAAGATTTGCCAGAGTAGGCGGAGAAGAGGTCGCGGGTGTTGCAGGTGAAGGAGGCATCGCGGATCACAACGCCTATACATCTATTCCAGTTACCTTTGTAGTCCTTGTCTCGGCAGTTGTACTGAGTACGGATCTTCTGTCTCTGGATGGCAAGGTCGTCTCCGGGGAGGAAGAGGCCGAGAAATGCGTTGAAGGTTTCCTCGGAGTTGACGTACTTGGGAGTGAAGCTGTACTGCTCACTCCAAGTGTGGGAGATGATGGCCGAACTGACTTTCTTGGAGTAATGTCCTGTACGACGACGCTGATTAGTTCTCATTCTCCTCGATAGTATTCCCAGGGCAATTAGCTTCTGACCTTGGGAAAAGGCGATGGTTGGTATGGTCTTGACCCATTTCCCATCCACTGAGGGCCCCACGGGGAAGAGACCTGTTTGCTTGACATTCGCAAACAAGGCTTGATTTGCCACGGTGAGATTTGTCGATTTTCTGAGGCAGTCGATGTCAAACGTCTCGCCGCAGCCAGCAAGCGCAGAGAACGTCTTGTAGGTCTTGTCCAGCTTACCGCCGCCCCTGTTGTCCCACGCCCACTCAAACGCAGGGCTCTGCACGGCGATCTTGCTGAAGACCGGGTCCTTCTTACCGTCCTCTCGGATGACATGGTGCAGGATGGAGCTGGCTCCCGCCGACTCGCCAAAGGCAGATATCCGGGCCTTGTCCCCGTTGACCTTGCCAATGTGCTCCTGCACCCAGTCAAAGAGCAGCGCCTGGTCGTAGAGGCCGGCATTCGGCTGCGCAGCCTTCTGCATGTAGTCGCCTGCCAGCCAGCCGAACGCTCCAAGCCGGTAGTTCCCCGCGACGAAGATGGTCTGGTACTTGCTCCTTGACAGGATCGCCCGGCCCGTGTACAGTGGGCCAAGCTGGTTCTTGCTGCCATATGCAAAGGCGCCTCCGTAGAGCCAGACGACGACGGGAGCTGGTGCGTCGCTGGAGCTCCTGGCCAGGACCTGCTTGGGGACGTACAAGTCGAGAAAGAGGCAGTCCTCGCCCACCTTGTCAGTGGCATCACCCGGGTCGGTGATGGGTTTTTCACCACCGACCGGGCTCTCGAGGCGCTTGGGGTCGACCGGGATGCAGTTACGCCCGAGATAAGGGGGCTGGACGGAGGAGTTTGTCCATGACGGGGCTTGTGGTGCGCTGAAGCGCTCGGGGATGCTGCCGAAGCGGACATTCTCGAAAAGGTAGATCTTGGGGTCTAGTTAGTGAGGCAACTTCGGAGGCAATGTATTCCTGGCCACTTACAGTGGGATCATCGGCAAACGGCCGTCCTTCGTAGGTTCCCCATGGCAGCTTCAGTTCCGGGGAGTATGCCGCAACTGCCAAGTTGGCAAACCTCAGGACGGAGAGGATCAACGATCCAAAGTGAAGGTCACGCATTATTGCAGACGTGTTCTAGGCGGAAGTTGTACGGTTAGAAGCGGAATGAAAATCTCCTGCATTCAGTCAGGTCAGACGATGTATAACCAGCCGTTTTGAAGTGAGTCCTTGACCGTGGTCAGCACTCATCGAATCATCACAGCTTCATGAGGCCATAAATCTCGATTCCCTCCACGCGCCGTGGCGGCAGGGCTGAAGCGATTATTGACAATAAACTCGGCCATTCCGAATTCATGAAATGTGAGAAGTGATCCTATCCCGGACGCCACTGCATGAGGTGCTTTGGGAACATCAATAGCGTATGTAGTTCACAGGCGGTGTAGAGCCGAGCTGAAAATCTTTTGGTTAGATCGTATCTATCCCCCATCTTCCGGGTAAGGATTGACATCCATGGGGGAGCTGATGGCAGGATCGACAGAGTTAAAGGGAGCTTGCTGCAGGTGTGGGCGGTTCGGCAAGGCCAAGTGCCGGAACTTGGCACAGCTAACGACAGTGGAGAGTTTATGCAGGCTACATGTATCCAGACTGGCGTATGGAAGCTGTAAGAGTGCTGGGAGGAGTAGGGAGTGTAGGCTTAAGTACATGTGTCAAAAACCGTTCACAGAGCTTGCGGCTGAGTACAAGGCGCGTGCCCTGTGCGTGTATTCTACATAGGCTCTTGTACATATCGAAATCTGCCCAAGTAGATACATTACTCCGAGTGCCTGACCCTCTCATGTCCCGCCCTTGTGCATTAGCCAAAGGCAATCCAGTCCGCAGAGACGGCATATAGTTGACTATCTAGCCACGTATCCCCATGCCACACGAACCCATCCTGGTTGAGACCATCCGCATACGTCTTGACGCGCAGGTTAGCAGAAGAGTCCATGTCGATCTCGCTGATGCCGACAAACAGCTTGGGCACCTTGTCGAAGAACTTGGGGGGGAAAGCGACCTCCTTGCTGTTCTCGGGGATGGCGGGGAACCATGTTCTCACGTCAAGGGTGCTGACCCTGCCCGACACCGCGCCGTCGCTGTTCTTGGGGTATGCCACCCATGATGCAGTAGCGCTATAGAGGATGGTGTCGAGCCAGGACTCAATGTCAAGATCGAAGCCGGTCGCCGTGCGGTTCCTGGCGAGGGCTCGGACGCGGTAGTTGCGGGACTTGTCGATGTCCAGGGCGCTGAGCCAGACCATGACGTTGGGCGGTTCACTGTACGCGCCATTGGAGAAGCTGAATTGCTTCCTGTACCTGCGGACTTCATTCTCATCCGGTGGTGGCGGCTGGCTTCGCGTGTTGAGCGTATTGAACTCGCCCACTAGCCAGGCTATTAGTACACGGCCGAACCAGGCTGTTATGAGAACCTCAGGAAAGAAAGAGGGCAACACTGGGACTACTCACCCTGATAATCCGAGTCCTCGGGGCCGAACTCGATCCACGTCGAGGTGGCATTGAAAAGCTGCGTGTCCATCCAGGTGTCCACATTCACGACGAACTCATCCTCCGTAACCCCCACAGCCTTTGCGCGGATGCGGATATGGCCCGAGTTCCCAATGTCGAGTGACTTCAAGCCAATGGCGACGCGAGGGACGTCTACATAGGGGGGCACGAACGAGACGGCCTTGGAATTGAGGGCCGTCAAGGGATACCCCGTACGAATCTCCGGATCAACGCTCAACTCCCCTTTGTCACGCGTCTGGAATGGGTAAATCCTCCCGATAAAGCTCCTATCCATAGCCGAGAGCTTCAAGTTCATGGGTGCCGACGTGTGATCGTTGGTCCACTCGGCAGGGTAGAAGTAGCACATGATGGAGTTGGCGTCAAAGTCGGACCGCTCGAGCGACTTGATGCTCTCCCACGTGTTGATGATCTGCTTCTGCGTCGTGGCCTTGTCCCATCCGTACCGGGCCAGGCAGTCCGACTCGACGCGGGGCACGTTCCAGTCAATCTTCCAGGCCTGGTGCTCGTGGACGCATCCGATGGAGTGCCCAAACTCGTGGACTATGCTGCGGCAGAACTCAGGCTCGGTGCTGTCGTCGGTGAGGCTGCCGTAGTTCATGGTCGGCTGGCTCTGGTCAGGGACAGCGACCTGTGCGCGCTTGCCGATTTGAGACCAGGTACCAAGGTCGAGCGCCTTGGGATACAGAGGATTCGGCCTGTCGCCAGATATGAGTAGGGGCCCTCGGTGCTGACGCAGGTCAGGGAGAGAGGAGAGACGCACCATTTGAAGGAGACACGGATATCTGCGTCGCCGTCCTCGACGAAGCGAAAGTCGATATTGGCATATCTCTCCCAGAACTGGGAGTAATTCCTAACTTTCTGCTTGAGCTTTGGAGTGCCGTTGAGGAAGCGGACCTTGAGCTTCTTGCCCTTGGGCCACCAGAGGTTGCTGTCAGCAGCCAGAAAGCTCGGCTCCCCCTCTCGGGAGACCAAGTTGCCGCCAGGCAGGGAGACAGACTCTACCAGTTTGGCATCGGCTGAGCAGTAAAAAAAGTCTGGGGGCGATTCCGTAGTCATGTTGATTGATTGTTACCGGGGAGTGATTGTTGAAGGTCTGTACAATCTGCGAAGATTTTGAATTCTTTTTAAATAAATGCCACGAGGCGAGTCAGAATATGGCCAACCAGGCGAAGCGTGACCGTCAGGCTACGGACAAAGAGTTCTAATACTAAGTCGTAGGACGTGTTAACCCGACTTTAATGTTATGAGTATGGGTGTATCGAGCCCCTACCTGCCTTGATGCAATTAGTATTGATCATTCGGTATCTTTACCTGCCTACCTTATGGTACCTACTTTGCCTACCGCTTATTGAATCTCAATGCGTAAAACCATACAATACACCGGGATCGCCCTCAGCGGCAGCAGCGATGTGCCTAACATTTGACGATTGTCACAAAATATTGCGGCTGTTGTGTCGTACGAAGGGCAACCTTTCCTCCCTCGTCATGAAGTCCAGACATAGGTGTACGTGCATATTGTACACAATTACATGTACCTTTGTTCTTCCGACCTCCAGTATTCGAGATGAACTTGGATATCACAGTACAGCAGTACAAACTGAGACAAGCAACGATTGGCATGAACGGCCATCTTGAGCTAAGCGTGGATGGCTGGCGTTCAATAGCGACATGTAAGTCCTCAAGGATTGGCGGGCAGAAGCGGGCTAAGCCTTCTCCTAGCACGGCCGTCTCGTGCGGCCCGCCCGCTAACGCAAGAGACCTCCAGACATCACAGACATTCGATACTAATTGGGGAACGATCCGTAGCGCCCCAGTAGCTGAAATGTGCATATATCGGGTGGCCACCCAAGTTAGGAAAGGAATGAACCGAGACTCCTGGCGCGACCATCTCGCTAACCAAGAGACCTCCGGATGTCACAACAGCGCGGATAGATCTTCGATACTAATTGGGGAACGATCCGTGGCGCCCCAATAGCTGAAATGCGCATGTATGGGGTGGCCACCCAAGTTGGGAAAGAAACGAATCGAGACTCCTAGCTGAAGAGAGGTCATTACGTAGGGCTGCCGATGCTATTACGTTTCAACGCACCATGTCTCAGAATGGGGAGCTACGGACTGCCGAGATATAGCTCTCGGGGCAGGGAATCTAACGGGATGATAGGTTACCGAGAACAGCGTCGTTATCCAGAGCCTGAGGTGCGCCATCCGAATGTCCCATGCCCCTGGCCCATTACGCCATTCACCGTGGTCGAGATCGTCATCTTGCCTAGGTTGGAGCTCAGGAACTCAACGCTTGAGCACCTATCTGTAGACTAGCGGATCTTCCACAAGAGCTGAAAGGGTCCGTATCTTTCATTGGCCACGTCTGCGGACAGGTTATGGCCTCAGACGAGAAAAGAGACGAGCTTGTTGAATAGGCGGGGCATAACGCAAGAACAATGGTGGGAACAGTGCTGCACCAGTGACGGAAACATTGATGATCATTGTCGAGGACATGCTTGAATGACTCTCCGTGCTTAGGGACTCTCCGTGCAAGTACAAAAGGAGCCTCTTTTCCCCTCAAGTCCTGATAAATCCTCATCAGCAAAGCATTCAACTTACTACCTTCTCCTCAATATTATCAACTAGCTCTCTTCTCTGGTCACTAGTTTCCCAACTTGACTACCAGTTTTCATCATGGCTCAGCAGACTGTCGGTAAGTTGAGAAACACTCGAGGTCACTACATAAGACACAAAGGCTTGGGTATTAATACAAAGTTTTCAAGGTGCTATCATCAGCCTCTCCGCCCCCGAGGAGGGCGACAACATCTGGAAAGCCCAGCAGGTTGACCAGGTCCTCAACCTGCCTCCTGGTGACGTTTTAGGCCGAGTATCCATCGACTGGGGTCTTGGTCCTGTCAAGGTGTGTTAAGGACTTTTTCTCTTACTCTGGGCACGCGATATCCTAACGATGCGAGTGTATAGATCACTGGCTACGTCGACACCAACACTTTTGAGATTGGCGTTAGCGTGAGCATCCTCGGTATCAACATTGGCAATATCTTCGGAAACCTCAAGGATGGTGTTGGCGTCAACATCGACCTATTCCTTGCCAAAGGCTCCATCAAAATTTACCTCAAGAATGGCAACGAGGTCTGGGTCCGCCTTGACGTCAGTGTTAAGTTTGATGGAACCTTCCAGGGTGACTACAAGATCATCACCATCTAGGTAGTTATGGGCACATCTTATCGCCCTGAGCTAGGGATGAAGTGGTATTAGGATTTAACGATAGTTAAAAATAGTGAATCTAACAGGAATAGGGTTTTATCGACTACTCTTTGTTTTCCCAGCTAAGATTATGGTGAACGTTATGTTAATTCCTTTTTTTCCCAGTGGCGTTGTATCTCGCTTGGAGAGATCGTTCCAGTCGGTGTCTTCCATTATGCAAATAGCTATTGTCCGGCCGCCGAGAAGCTTTCGAGTCTTGCGTTTTCCGATTAACCTGATATGTATAATAATCAGTTTGCTCCTGTCTGCGGACTAGCAGACCCTACCATCTCAGGTTTGAGATCCCGGATAGTATTTGCACCTATATTACGCTTCTTAGTTGTTATTTCCTAGCGTAGGGCTACATGAAATGGAGTCAGCCTAATATAATCGCAGTGCCTTGCCGGGCATGTATGTTAGACTTATTTTAAATCAATCTAGAGACGCTGTGACGATTTGGCGACTTACGAAGAACGGCGGTCTAGGGTAGGCCGGGGATGTGAAAAGTGGAGGAAAAGGTGCATGCTAACTGTATATCATTACAATTACACATACCACTGTCACATACGACCATACCCATTCGAAAGCACGCGATCCCGTCCGCTCTCGCCTAGTTAAACGGATGAGGGGCCGATTAGTAGTTGGGTCGGTGACGACCAGCGAATACCGGCTGTTGTATGTTTTTTTATGTCTTTTGCTGGTCTGTCGTTGCAGGACCTGCTCAAAACCTCAGAACATCGATTTGGCGTAGCCAATACGGCGTGTGTTTTTTTCGGATGGATCGGGATAATGCACGACGTTACAGAAATCACCTACCCTACACACCTCTTAAGACCAGAAAGATGTGGCATCTGCATTGTAACTACGCGGCGTTTAAGAGCTACATCATGGCACAATGACTCGGGAAATAACACTAGGTTCGTGCTTATTTATCTGTCCCAAGGTAGGTAGTCACACATGGTTTATTTATTGCGTTCCCCGGGGCTAAGTTTGATTCGTTACTAAAGTCCCTCACCTGCTGAGCTCAACCACACATACAGGAGCAGGTACCTTCAATCAGCTGTGGCGGATACACAACAACCGCCACACCCAGCACACAACCGCGTGTCCCGTGGCAATCAAAAGAGTCTGCATCACAGCCCAACCATCCGTGATGTGGTGGTGTTCTGCAAGCGGGATGTGGCTTGGAGGCCTGCGAACGACTGACCGCCACCTTCCGACGATCCTTCCACTCAGAAACGGTGACATCCCAACGTCCCGTCCCTCCCAGCGACGCATTAGACAGCTGCTGCGCCACCGTCCTGCTCCATACTCACAGCTGAGCTGACACTCTGAAACCCCCTCTTCCCGAGCTTAGTCTACAGTCCGCCGTGTTGGCCGTCATCCTTGTTCATAAAAGCCATCTGTCCACCAAAGGATGACCCCATCCTTCCGCCCATCCAAATCGCACCTCCCGCCGCATCAGCATCTGTCCTCGATCTTCCCTTTCACACTTGCCTTCCTCATCCACGCGTAGCCTACCTACTCCTCAGAATGTCCGGCAACGACTACTACGGCGGCGGCGGCGGCGGCTACGGGCAGCAGCCCCCACAAGGCTACGGGCAGCAGCAGTACGGCCAGCAGTATCCCCCACAACAGCAGTACCCAGGCCAGCAACAGTACCCTCCACAGGGCCAGTATCCAGGCCAGCAGCAATATCCTCCGCAGGTACGTCCATCACCACCTCAACCGCAATCCCCATCGTTAAAAACCCCCTCCCAATGCCATTATCCGCCTCTTTCAAACTAACATCTCCGTAACCAAGCACCAGCAACAGTACGGAGGCCAGCACCCCCAGGGTGGTCCCCCGCCAAGCTACGGCCAGCACCAAGGCTACGGCCAACAGCAAGGCTACCCCCAGCAAGGCTACAACCACCAGCAGCAGCAAGGCTACGACCAGCGCGACCAGCACCAGCAGCACCCCGGCGGTGCAGCCAGCTACTACCAGGGCGGCCAGCCTCAACCCTACCCGGGCGGCGGCCCAGGTGGACCCCCGGGCCAGGACGAGCGAGGTCTTGGCGCAACCCTCATCGGCGGCGCTGCGGGAGCCTTTGGCGCCCACCAGATGGGCGGCGGCACCATGGGCAAGATCGCCGGCGGGGCGGTCGGGGCCGTGGGCGCAAACATGATCGAGCACGCCTTTAAGTAAGTTGCGCAGACCTGTCCATCATCGCTGGAGGAGCCCCCCCTCGGACAAGGTTATCTCCCTCGGGTGTCTTTGGATATCGCTAACAGCTTAATCCTACAGGGACAAGAAACACAAAAAGGATAAGAAGCACAAGAAGGACAAGAAAGACAAGAAGAAGCACAAGCGCTCGTCGAGCAGCAGCAGCTCGTCGTCCTCCAGCTCCTCCGACTAAGCGGGTCTGTTCTGTCGCTGGGGTGGCTTCATTGTATTCAGCATGCAAAAGTGTACCTTACCTTACCACCTACCTACTCCGCAGCCTTCCGCGGGTTCTGTATTATCTTTAGTTTCTCTTCATGGTGCCTTCGTAGTTGGAGTAGCCATCATTTATGAGACATTGCAGTGAACTCCATTTCACCGTAGGTCGGGGGGATGATCAGCCATCTAGTGATTACAAGGTTTCGAATTCTCAAGCCTCGTTCCAAAGTAAATTATTTTCTCTACCTGTACTGTACCATGAACTCCCCGCTACAGACGGGCCTCAAAAAATCCCAAGCCTCATAAATCACATGGATTATTCGAGTAACCGAGAATGCCATGCCAAAAAAGAAAAACACGCGTCGCGCCGATACTCCCTCCTGTCAAAGGAAGAAGGGCGTGCCGGGACCATCGCCATAAGTAGGTTCCGAGCAAGTCGGATGATTCACGGAGAACTCCCCCCGTCTCATCAATATCATTTCCCATCCCCCTTTGGGACTGGTGGGATCAAGATCATCTAAATCCCGTACCTCCCAAAACGCCCATCCCATTCCAAGGTATCGCTAATCCCACTCCTGAAGTTGTTGCTAGTCCTACAAACAAAGCTCATTGATCTGGCTGCCAAGATCATAAGATAAAAAGAAATTCAAAAACAAACAGATCCATCCGCTCCCCTAGGCGTGTGAAAAGATGACATGAAGGGGATCACAAGCGGAGGAGGAAAGGATAGAGAGGAATAATTCGTTAATGGGCGGGTCTTTCACCTGCCCCTGGATTTTGCCCGGAGTTGCCCTTGGTAGGGCTTTCACCCGAATGGTAGAGCATACCGGTAGGTTGCCATCCCTGATAGAACCAATGTTCGGTCGACAAGAGATGCCACGCTCATCATCAGACACCGCCACCCATAAATGCGGCCAGATCATCCATTTCCAAAAGCTGGCGCTCAAAGACTGTGCAGAGCTCAGGGGCCGTCATGTCCTGGCTGGTAGTGTGTGCCTCTGGCGGGGGACCGACTGTGCCATTTGGAGGCACATCCGGGCTCGGCTGTTTGCCCTCGGCTCCGTACAACGGATACTGGCCTGCAGGATTGGGCGGGGGAGGCGAAACAGTTGCACCGGCCCCGACACCTGCATTGCCATTAATAGTGGTGATTCCGGGGCGGCGGGGAATGGAAACAGGTGGCTCGCTGCCAGCACGTGCCGGGTCAGAGCCGGCAAGAGGCAACGTGGGGGGGGCGTGCTGAGGAGGAACACTGCCACTCTGTCCATGAGGGTCGTAGTCCATGGCATCGGCCGAGGTGTCGGCGTTTGATGCAACCTCCTCCTTGATGCTGCTGTGACCACCGAGAGAGTTGTGGCCAGTAGAGTTGTGCCGGGCCGCGGTCATGGCTGCAGCGTCATTGTTCAGCACGCGCTGCATGACAGTGAGGTGACGTAGCCAGCTTGCCATGAGTGGCCAGTTATCTGTGCCCTCGGTCATGAAACGAAGGCCGTCCTCGACAATGTGGCTGGCTGTCTCAACCGCATTGGATGGTGTCAAACCCTTGAGGGACAGATAAGCGACCGTAGCACCGGCGGTAAAGGCCGAGAACAGCATGAAGATGGGGAAGCAGGTGAGGTGGTCCTTCTCCGCTCCAGTCTCCACGGCGTTCAGCAGGGAGATGATGGTGTGGCATGAGGTGAAGAGCCGGTCGACAATATCGTGGCATTTAGAGGACATGCGGAATACCTCAATGCTGAAGTTGGGTGCTGTGACCTCCTGCAGGAGTCGCCGCCGATGGACAAAGATGCTGGAGCAGTGCAGCAGGCAGTGGAGCATGGCAAATGTGTAGCCTGATCCCATAGTCATGTGCAAGTTAATCTGGCCAGGCTTATCCACGAACTGCATGGGGAGCGATGCCCTCACCATCTCAATCTTGTCGATGAGATCAGAGCACGTCTCCTCTCGGAAGTTCTGGAGGGTGGTCCCCGTGAGCATGGTGACGACATCGCGCCAGATGGTGGATGCCAGCACGATGTACCCAAACTCGCCTACCTCGCCGGTGGGAGACTGGGTGACGGGGTTGCGAACTGGGTCAAGCTGCTGAGCGAGGGTCTTGACGTAGACTGCATTGCCAAATGCAAAGTTGATATCAGAGCAAGGCAAAGAGACGTCAGCCGTGTCGCGAAGGTTGAGAGCAGGGTACCGCCCAGGAGTGCTGGTCAGGAAGCAGTCCAGAATGTAGATGAGCCACAGGGTGCGTCGGAAGGACTCATCCCGCAGGAACTGGTCAGGGTCAGTTCGGTGGCTGTTGAGAATGCTGTACATCTGGAGCATGCGCGCAGCCTGGCCTAGGAAAATGTAGGCACGGACCGCGTTCCGAGAGCCCCATTCGTGGATCACGAGAAGGCATAACGCCTGAATGTCCGCAAGGTTGGGGTGGTCTAGGTTCTGGGTGACGAGGCCAATGGCCTTGGCTGCGAAGTTCTCGGCAGCTGTCGTAGGATTGCCAAATCGCCGGATCAAAGCATGGGAGCTCCTATAGACGAGGAATTAGCGCATTGGTCGACTTTAGACCATTTTCCCTACACCAGTCCTGATGTCGGGCGGATCCTGTCCTGCTTCCTGTGATGAGCGCATCGCCAACACAGGAGGACCGTACCGAGCTAAGGAGCTAGCAGCAGCAGCTGGTTCCACCGGCGACAGCTACAGAAGAAAAGCCCAGGCGGCCAAGGGGAGGGCCCCTAGAGCCAATTGGTGAGACATACCGAGCGGCGCAGGCTAGCAAGCCGAAGACGAGAGATGGCTCCAAGGAGGCACTCTTGAGTTGCTGTACAAAGGAAGGCTTGTGGAAGGCTACACAGGCCGGGAACGTCTTGGACACGACGCGCTCGCACTCAGCGATCAGCTCCGGGGTGAGTCTGAGGTAACGAGGTTAGCAGGAGATAACCGAGGGCCGGGGGTTCAGATCTGCGTGACAGAAACAAGGGGTACGAGAGGGGGCGCGATATTTGCAGCTGGGCTGCAGGTGGCATGCGGACATGTCGGAGCAACACTAGCAAACTAACAACCAGTGCCCCAGACTGGGGTGGCTGTGCGTGCGTGGGAATGAATGTGCGCTTGCGGGGCGGGGAAGAGGAGGAGATGGGGACGAAATAAACCAGTGACAGCGAAGGGGACAAACGGGCAGGGAGCAAGAAAGCAAAAAGTGTGACCAAAATCCTCGGCACGGACTTTCAGCCGGGTGGAAATTGTGGAGGGGCTTCGGGGGGTGAGATGAAAAAAATTGGAAACTTGGTTGCGGCGGTGCCCTAATGCAACCCGGCCCATTCGCAGCCAACCCGGAGACGGGGAAACTGGATTGGTGGATGTGCCAGGCTGATATGGACTCAACCAACAGCGAGCCAATGTGACGAGGGGAATGGGGTAGGTAGTGATGTGGCGAGGGATGGGCAGCCGAGCCGCTGCAAGTCCCGTCACACATTGGGGGCGGCAAGGAGAGGTGATGCTGGAGTTGGTGATGATGTCGCTTGTGACGGCCCAGGGCAGGATAAAAGGGGGATTGGGGTTGGGTGGAAAGGGAAACGGGCAAAACGAAATGGAAAAAACGGCAGTGGTGCAGGGGTGGATGTGAGGGCTGTTGGGCTGGGACAGTGGGTGAAGTGAGGCAGCGAGAAGGAGACAGAGCGACTCGGTCATGAATATGGGGCGAGGGAGAGGGAAAGAAGGGCATTGGCGCTACTCACTTGTCTGCGGCGGCGGTCTGGACGTGCCTGTTGGCGCTGGTGCCGCCTGAGCCCACTGTAGGCTGCCTGGTCTCTGAGGCAGCGCCGGCCCCGGAAGCCGGGAGCGATTCTCGAGGAGCTCTGTGGGCGTTGGAATGGCGAGCAGGACTCTGGCCGTGGTGATGAGCCATGCTCTCTGAGGGAAGATAGCACTCGTGCATGCCCTTTGCGCAGTTCTTGCACGGAGCGCGGCCGTTCTCGTAGACGCACTTGGTCTTCCCCTTGCGGCAGCGCACACACGCGCCGCCGGCCCTGAGGGCTGTAGACCGCACGACGCCGGACGACATGCTAGAAAATCAGTTTGAGGGCGCGCAACGTCGGAGGCGGGGGAGGAGAAAAATGAAATTCGCGGGGAAGGGGCAATTCAGCGACGCGACGCGATGCGAGGCGGTAGAATATCCTCCTCTTTCTCAGGCGGAGGAGGGCGATGAGCGTGGGAGAGGGAAAAAACCGAGCCTGGGTGGTAGAGGAGGTGGAAGAGGGAGCTGAATGGTGATAGGTGGTGGGTGGTTGGGGGGCCGGAGGTTGTTCGCTACCAACCGTGGGTTCCGGAGTGAGATTCAGGGTACCGTGGCTTGCGGCCAGGGACGCGGCGGTCAGCTACGGCCAACGCAGAACGCAAAAAAGAAAAAAATACGCCTCGGCCACAAAAAAAAAAAAACAGGAATTGAGGTACAGAGACCCGGCCAGAAACAGAAGGGTTCCCGTCAATCGTGCTTCGGGATCTCGCGCAACGCGTCCTGGGTGAGCCGTCTGCGCACGTCCACGCCTGAGAGATTCGTTTGGGATGTGTCGAGTGATGTTGGGCAGATGGGGTCTGTCTGAGCTAGGAGATGAGGAGGTGAGGAGGTGGAAGGGATGGATGGGGTGAACGGAGATTGGGAGGCCTGCTTGCCTTAGGGAAGCTGCGCCAGGCTGAGGCCAAAGGGGGAAGAAACGGAGTTGTGGGACGGGCGGCGGAGGCGGCGACGGCGGTACTGTGGACTCGTAAAAGGGCTTGGAGGTGTGGGAGCCTGAAGCATGGAGAAGTTGGTCTGGTAGCATGAATAGACTGAGGGTAGCGTTGCCGGCCTGGATGTTTTGCTGGCGACGCGCAGGTGCCTCCCGTTTGGCAACGACTAATTATTACCCGCCCCAAGGCAGGAACCGATGAACGTTTCCCCAGCCCAACTGGAGGACTAACAGCCCGCCTCTTCAGTTGATGTCCGCTGGG